ACAGAGTCGACCGGTCGGTTATACTGTATGTCCGTTAATGGACATTTTAATTGGGTCTTTTGTAAGATATAAGCATTAAACTTCTCCTTAACTATTTCTTTAGTTTGGTTCACTTTACTTTCTATCTTACTACCTAACAGTTTAAACTTATTAGTTTTTTTAGTAAGACTGGTAATTCTTGAAGTTGCTTGTATGCCACTTCTAACTGTTGGATTTTTTCTTTGCATTCTTGATTGCTTTTCACTAACTCAGCATTCTTTTCTTATTTTGTTTAGAAACATAACTGAGAGAATTACAACTAAGTAATGTTCACTCTGTAAAACGTTTTCAGGAGTGAATTCATTACCAAAATAACTTTCTCAGTTCCATTTTCTCTTTGAACCTTACACAATGTCAATTTGGGGGTTTTAGGACAGAAAAATCATATATTACTATGGCCACATCACGTGAGTAGTCTTAAGTGTTTTTCTCGTTTTTCTTGGAAGAGACTGCAAGAAAAAAAAATCATAATGATTAAATATAAAGATTCAAGAAACTAAGAGATATATTAAATGATTGTTAACCTCTTTTTTCTTTTGGAGCCACTATAGGACTCAATTTGACAGGTTTGTTAATATGAACATATTGCATATTCTCTACATTTTCTCTGAAAACTTGCGAAAGTCTAACAGCCATTTGAGTTAGATTGGATGTTTTGTTTAGAAGATTCTACAAAATATCTCAGTCAGAAGTTAAAAAAAAAATCAATTAAAAAAAAACAGATAGGGAAAAAATTGCTTACTCGATGGATTAGGAATTTTTTACATAACACCATTGCAGTTATAATGTCATCATCCTTTCTTAGTAGGTCTTGTGAAGACCATTCCCACATACCATACAAATCACCATTGATTTGTATAGAATGTAGAATCAGATTTTCATCCTGATTACTTGGAAAAAGGGAATTGCTACAAACTTCAATACATTCTCAATATTTGAGGGAAGAGGATTGCAACCACTTTTTTCCATTTGGAAACTAATATGTTGCGATCGAGCAACATTCATGACATCTACAAAATCGGGGACACTTTTTTTATGATGGTCCTTATGAGTGGGGCCAGTGTTCTCTCTAATGCCAATCTCGTGCTCATTTCCCTACAGATTTACTATCAGTTTATATAACACATTTGCACCAAACACCAATAAAAACAAAACTTACCCGGAAAATAAAATCACACGCCTTTCCAGTTGCTCCTGATTCTGACTGGGAAGACTTCTCATCTCTGTCGGCATCTGAATGACTTTCTCCACTATAAAGAATTGTTAAATATCTTGGTAGAATATAATTAACAAGGAACATAGCTTCTTACTATATATATTTAACACCAGGTGTTTTTGAGAATGGACCAATTAGGTGCATATCGACAGTTCGTTCTATATTAGTTGTCCCACTGTATATATGTACCCAACTATAACTACAATGATAACATTCATGGCTTAATGAAAAGAATGCTGACATGTAAAATTAAAGATTATGATTAAGAACTTACAAGGCATCCATACATTCTCCAATGTACTGGGTATCTTTGTCATATATTTCCGCGTCTATTTTAAGCAAGGAACAAATACCTTTAATCCCCCAAGCCCTCTTCTCCTTACTGAGTTTTTTGAGACTGAAAGTGCTACATTGAAGCATCTCCAGAAGTGTTTTAGCAGATAGGCTCAAATGTGATTCTTTATTTATAATTTCAATAGCCATTTGTTGGAGTTTTTGAACTTCCATATCTGATAGAAATTCTTTTGCACAAGGATGTTTTGGGCATGGAGAGACATTCTCTGCTCTAAGATCTATGACACCCCAACACAACAGGCTATAATTTGAATGCATGTTAGTGAAGGATTCAAAAGGATGCAAAAAAGATTAGTTTGTACTTATGTCATCAAACAGGCCGTTTGATTTTCTCGTGCAGTTTCAATTCCCACTATCAATCTATTATAACATATTGCTGGGTCGTCAATCTTGAATGGCGAAGAAAAAGAATTAGTAAGAAACTAAGAAGTTACAAAACAATCATGATTTAAGAACCTACCCCTTCGTCCTCTTCTTCATCTTCCCAATCTTTCTTTTTTTCTTGGATTTTTTTAATAGATGAATATCGAAAGCTCCAGTATTAATTCCATTAATGGTATTAGCTGAAAACGTCAGTTGATGGATCGAAGGCCCACCAACTTCTTTAGATTTACGCTCCTCCTTCTCCTCCTCCTCTCTCCTCCATTCTCTTGCCTCTTTATAATCAGGTTTCTTTCCCTAAGAGAAAAAAAAAACGTGAAAATTATAACATCTTTGATAAATAAATATCCACCGGTTGTCTCGTAGACTTAACATCAAATGTAACTCGTAGTTTATTTGGTGCACCGGCGGTGCCAGCGCTAGGTCATCTCATAGATTTGAACACAAAGAAACTCGTAGTTTGCTCTGTGCCCCACACTGGCTTTGTGGCTCGTCTCGTAGACTTGAATGATAGAAAGTCTCGTAGATCTTCTACCACGCCACTTTACACTATACCTTCTTATACCGAGCCAGCAAGAGCTGAGCTTTATCATGTCTATTATTTAATTTTCCCTGTTTAATGATGTTTTCAAGTGATAAGCAGTAAGCTTCGATTTTTAGTTTGAATTGTTTCTCCTCGCATTCATCCAAGAACCCCCGAATACTCCAATCTGTAGGCTTTCGCTCGAAATATTTATGTATTACGCTGTCTTTTGTGTTCATTATATTTAAAACTTAGATTGTTGGCAAAGAAAGAATTGACCTACACGTTTATATGATCAAAAGCGCGTTCGCGTTTACAGGTCGATCAGATGAATCAGATGATCGCTACCCGATTTCACATGAGCACATGATCTATTTTTCCTGTGGCGTTTCATGGATAAAATAATAACTTTTTCAAGCCGATATAATGCTGGTAGTTAAAAACAATGTTCCATATCATATTCAGGGCGGAGACTGAATAGGTTTAGGTACAGTTTTATTATAAACCCTGTCTAAAATGATTTTAGCAGTTGCTCCGGTTATATTTTTACACATTGATCAGCAGAGCTCATAAAACTTTATTAGATAATACTTTATTTCGGATTCAGGTATCAGGTGATAAGCATGAAACTTCCAACCAATATAAGCATGATCTACATTCATGTGTGAAAAATGCCTCTCATTTAGTATTATCGAACTCTGGTAGCAGTCCTCAAGATTGTGCCAAAAATAATTGGACGATATACTGATGATGTATCTGTATAAAGAAGTCGAGCTTTTTCTCCATAACGAGATTTTATATATCCATACCAGAACTCATACATCATAG